TTTTCAAATTTCCTATTATATTTCCTTAAAAGCGGTACCTAATCAGCTGTAACATACACATGCTAACCCACTGAAAGGCAATAAAAATAACCTTTATAGGATTCACAGGTACTGGTTTTCCAGGAATATGAGGTGTAGGTTCCATATTCATATCGAATGTGCTGTATTCAGGATAAGCGTCAATCAGAAAAGTTAAATCATCATCTAACCGCTTTTCCAACTTGATCACTTCAATTTTGGTGATTGTTGGCGTGTACATTTCATACATCACTTCTACTCCTGCAGTTTCCAGTATGAATTATCAGAACACCGAAAAACATAGCAAAACTAAACTGAACTGAATACAGATCCATCCTAATGAGAATTTAGGAACGCATGAGGAGAATTTTTTGCTCAAGGTCACGCTTTCGCGGTAGAAAAAAAACGTGAAAAAATTGCACTTTTCTAGTAAAAAAAAAATTTAAAATTTAAATCATATGAAGTGTAAAATCTAAATAGTGGATGTGCAAGGCGGACGAAGATGGCAGCTATTAACCAGACCGGTATTTAATCAACAAAACGCAGTTTAGCAAAATGAATGCAAAATACGGACAAATCAGCAACGGAATGCTGAACTGTGTGCTAAAATAAATACACGCAAGCTGGTAGTAGCAATAAATGCTGGAAATTGCTTACATTATGTAATTATACTGAGGAAAAGGTAATATAAGGCAGAAGACTCCAAATGGGACACCTCTGTCCATTGCAAAAGCTTTACAAGAAGCAAAGTATTTCACAATATAAATTTTTTAAGAACAAAAAAATGCAACAGCAGTAACCTATTCCCTCGATGACGTTCCTCAGTGTGAACTGAGAGTGGAGGCCTTCCAGTTTACGACTGATGCAAATACCCAAAAACCGATTCTTCAGGCCCATCAGCCTTTTATCGGAATAAGTTACGGCAACGATAGACCCTAGAAACTGGCAGGATTATTTAAAAAAAAAAAAAAAGATTATTTTGTCTTGGATAAAATCGTAATGAAAAAAAAAACTGCTAAAAATGAGCAGGAAATCTCAGAGAA